GCGGCCGCCCAGCCCTCAGCCAACCCGCCCCGCCGCCCGGCCCTCAGCCAACCCGCCCCGCCGCCCGGCCTCCAGGTGCGCGGACGGCCCAGGTGTGTCGGGTGGCGGCCTCCAAGGCCCGCGCCTGAGAGACCGTTACCCGCCCAGTGCCCTTCCAGAAGCCCGAATGTGGTGTCGCTGGTTCCCAAGCCCGGGTGCAGAAAACGAGGCCGTTGAGCGAGAAGAGGTTCAAAATGAAGGGCTCAGGCCTTTCCGAGCGTTGGGAAGGACCCCCGCAGCGTGGGTATTAGGTTCCCTCCCGACCTTAGGCTTCAAGGGCGGCGGCACGTTACAGTTAATTGTTCAAACGGAACTTTTGAAGTGGCCTTAGTTTGGCGTGACTTTTAAGGGCAAGCATGTGAGGTTTTGATTCTGGAAGTCTACCTAATTTTGACATCTAAGAACTCAAGATTTACAGATGGTAAGATTTTTCCACTTAACCAACGAAGGAAATTTGGATTTAACGTAGCAAAATAAATATTTCCATTCTCTGATTTAATGGCCGCCCGCCCCCCGCCCCCTGCCCCCCGCCTCTTTAAAAAAAGCCTTTAGACATACGTCTTTTGAGTCCTTTTCTGGAGCCTGGTTTTTAAAAATGAGTATTAAAATGTTTATTTGGTTCATCAGTGAACTGTCGAATCAGTAAAATAAATCAATGGGTTGTCTATGATTTTTGCGTGAATAATTTTAAAACTATTAACGACTCAAAAGTTTGAGACCAACGTCTTCGTCTTCTCATAATCTAAAGTTAAAAGTGACAGCAGAGAAAGTCTAAAGTCTACGGGGAGGAGATATTTGCGTCCCAACCTCTAACAATTTGCACGTTTCTCCAATTCTGGTATGGTGAGACACCTAGTGGTGAAGTAGCTGAGCAGTAAAATTTGTTTTAATTTAAAACGACCTCCTCAGCAAATTGAATGAAAATTGTTATTTAAAAGAATAATTCTTGTCGTGCATGGTGGCGCATAGAATAATTCTGAGAAGAGGCAAAGATTCGTGGATGGAGGCTTAACTTGAAAACATACTTTATTAATTTATCAAAAAGGCAAAAATATTTTTAAAATATGCAAATTGTAGAAAAGAAAGTTTGGTAATCTTGGCTCCTAAGCACGTGCAAAATATGACTCTCCCCAAGGGAATGTGTGTGAGATTTATCAAAAAGAAACGTGAAAAGTTACTTTTTCTAGTAAATAATCTTCTGATGATCAATATGCCGTAATTTTGTGTCTAGTGTGGCAATTTTCTCTCTTAACATACTGGTTCACTCGTGTATTTAATTGATGTAACATGCAGATATAATCCCACTTAAGTCAAAACATATCTTCTCAGGATCTTTTAATGAAAACTCATGAATTTGGCCTGGGGAAAATTTTATGTGAAAGAAAATTATCTTACTGTTCACTGAATAATCTGGAGAAATTCCAGAAACAGTAATGACTTCCTTATATTAGAGTCTTTTAAGATTTAATTTGTTTCTCAAAAAAAAAAATACTGTTTAAAAATTGAGTGAAAGGGTCGGGAAGATGGCTCAGTAGAATAAGCACTTCCCTGGCAAGTGCAAGGGTCTGAGTTCAATCCCCGGTTCTGCCAAAAAAAAAAAAAAAATTGAGTGAAATGTTTCTCAGTGTCATTCCTCACTCATGTAATTGCTGTAATTGTTCTTTATGTAATTGAAGTCCTTATTTTCAGCTTCAAGGTATACTCTTTATTATTTGGGGTTTTCCTAGAAGAGTTGCCTATTGTGATTTTAAGCCTGCAGTAGGACATTAAAGTATTAAGAGCAATAAAAAGGTATAACATGTCAAGTTTAAACTAACCCTGTATCTAGTACAGTAGTAGTCATTTGACTTAGGTCAAGTAGGATGTGTCAGTAATTTTACCTATGAGCCAGAGTCTGATTTGTTTGTTTTTGAGGCAGGGTCTCAGGATGTAGTTTAGGTTGGACTAAAGCTCACTATGTAGCTTATGCTGGGCTAGAACTCTAGAGATCCCCCTACCTCAGCCTCTTGAGTGGTGGCATTACTCACAAGCACAACCACACCCACCGGTCAAAGAGTCTTTGTTAGGAGTAGTAGACTGACAATTCAGACTTTATGAATTGCCATTGTTACTAGATTTCTGCAACAGGCCTTGTTATATATATATGCTCACCTTCATTATTTGACACGTTTCACAAAGCCCTGTTTAGAGAGTAGCATATATTTTTAAGTACCTTTATTTACCTCTCAGAACTATTAAAACAAGTATCTACCTTATTAATATAACCCAGGAAGAATAATCTAGAATATTAAAGTTACTTGTTTTTTAAAAAAAATTATTTCATTTGATATAGGGTCTGGTTTTGCAGCTCGGATTTGTAGTGATCCTCCTGTCTCAGCCTCCCCAGTACTCAGATTATAGGCATATGTCACCATGCCCAGTTTAAGAGCTGGCAGGGCAGTACTAGGGATCAAGCTTGGACCTTGTGCTTGTCAGGCTGGTGCTTAGACTACTGAGTTATCTCCCTAGCTGCCATAAAGTTACATGTTTTCATGCTGTTATAATCATAAAATAATTTTAAAATAGATCTGGAGAGCTAATTTCAGTGGCATAAGTATCTGCCTGACAAGCACAAAGTCCCAAGTTTGATACCCAGTACCACACGCTGTACCTGGGCCTGGCCCTGGCACCAGGCATGGTGGCACATGCCTGTAATCCCACTGCTAGGGAGGCTGAGACAGAAGAAACACTATGAGTCTGAGCTGTGTAGGGAGACCCTGTAACAAACAAACAAGCTAAAAATAAATTTGTTAGATATTTTTAAAAAAGTAGTTCAAGAAAATATTTGTGTGTGGTACTTGGCCTACAGCTTAGTCAAGTTATCAGATAGTTTTGGTTTTATTATGACAAGTTAAGTAGGGTATACAACAGTATGGTATACTGTGGGATAAATTTGTATTTCAGTGAAATTTTAAAAAATTGTCAATTTTCCTTTATTTGTACTCAAATAATTTTTTTTTTTTCTGGAGAAAACTACCTACCTGCTCATTTCAAAAGAAGAATAAAATGTTTTATTCTGCAGAAACACAGTTTGAAGATGTCTGAAAGGCACTCAGCCAGCCCTGGAGCAGGAAGTGAGGCTGGCTCACCTATCAAGTTCAAGTACTCCAGTCTCAGAGATTTTTGTTCCACATCTTCCGTTGAAGATAGTGGCCATCATGAGTTGCCAAGATCTTGCAGCTTTGATAATACAGATAAAGATTTTTTTGGAATGAAAGAAAAGGACCCAGTATTAATCCACATACCCCCTGAAATTTCAGACCTGGGCTTAATACATTCCTTAAAGTCTCCTGCTCAAAGAAATAAATTTGTCTTTTCTAAGAAGGAAAATACCCCAGAACTATGTGAAACTCCTAAATTTGCTGGAAAAAAATCTTTACCACGGAGAAGGTTAGATGTATGTTTCTCTCTTCTAAAGAAAGACTTTGAATTACAAAACAGTTCTCAAAGTGGTATAAGCCAAGTCAATTTAGAAAAAAGTATTCCTAACAGTGTTTTGGATTTTCCAAAGCAAAATAGCTTTAGCCCTTTAGTTACTAGCAATGTACAAACAGAGGAAGTGACTTCTAGCAGTCAAACCCTAAGACTAAATTTTTCTCAACACAAGACTTCTACAATTGATGATTCCAAGGATGAATGCAGCCTATTTGAAGTTGAATGTATATCTCCAATTCAGGGTAATAATTTTAAAGATTCAGTCACACAGGACTTTAGTGATAGCAGTTTAAGTGTTAGTGATGAAAATACATATCCTGAACTTCTGGGTTCCTCTGGTAGTAGAATAACCTACAGCAGAGATGAGGACATATTTGTGACTCCAGTTAGTAATCTTACACCAAACATTGAATTTTCTACAAGTCAAAAACTTTCTCCTTCAGTTGAGGTAAGAGGCAGTATTTCCACTCCCGAAGACAGTGGTTTTAACTCACTGAGCTTGGATAAGTCAGACGATTCCTTCTCTGATCAAGAGGGTTCTTTTCATGAACTATTTCAGACATATAAAGGGACTTGCAATGTGGGAGATACGATACGAAAATCAGGGTGCCTTAGAAGGTCAAGAAGACTGTCCACTCTTCAGGAGCAAAGCTCACAATCAGAGACAGAGGAGGAAAAGCAGATCATCCACCCCACTTTTCAAACAAGACCAGAAGCTGCTTCAGACATCTCGGAGAGTCAGCTGAGCACCGATAAGAGTAGAGATTTGACTTTAAGCTTTAAGAACTTATCAAAGACTCCAGCCTTGCAATTAGTGCATGAACTCTGTATGAAAAGCAAAAGGAAAAGATTCCAGGGAAAGGATACAGATGAATTATTAGAAGAAAGGGATGGGGGAAAAATAGCTGTACTGCAGTGTGCACTTGCTGGGCTGATTGGCAAGAAGATGGGTATAGAACAATTGGACATCTTATCAGAATTAAAATACAGAAATCTAAAGCATATTCTTACTATGGTTTTAGATTCCTTGACTGAAGAGAGCTTATACAGGTAAGGAATAAAAGTTTTTTATGAAATAGAACTTTTATAATTTTTTAAAGTTGGTTTTTCTATGACTTGAATGGTTGTCTCATTTTTTATTTCTCTTACTGTTTCTATCTTTGGCTGTCTTACATTATATCAAAAATAGTTTGTGTCCTTCCTAGTAGAGTTGCTAGTGTAGTCCCTCCTGCTTAAAAGCCTACTTTAGAAGTAATGATAATCTTTTTTCTAGATAAAATCCTTATCACTATCACCTGGAATGAGTGTTCCTAAACTTAAGCTTCAATTTTTTTTTTGGTAGTACCAGGGATCGAACTCAGAACCTTGCCCTTGCCAGGCAAGCACTTATTCCCCAAGCCCCTCAAGTTTCACATATTTAAGGAGGCAAGGCTTATTCTATAAATTTTTTAAAACTGTATTTAAGAATTCATGTGCTATTTATTTTTTTATTTTTTTGCGGAACCAGGGATTGAACTCAAGCCCTTGCGCTTGCCAGGGAAGCACTTATTCCACTGAGCCATCTCCCCGGCCCCTCATGTGCTATTTTGAGGTCCAAACTGTCTCTAAGTTAAAGACACTGGTTCACAAAGAATAGCATTGTTGTAAGAATGACCAAATATATTAGGTATCATTAATCCAAGAATACTGCTTAGCTTTCATTCTTTCTAGAAACCCAGAGAATGTGTGTTATTCCATTTTTATTGTTAAAACAACAGAGGCAATTAATTACATTTGAGAAATAGAAACTGAGGAATTTGTGTTTCTAGATATTCATAGTTACATAAAAATTACCTGAGACATTTAGGAGAATGGGTAGTAGGAGGGGTATGAAAATTTGCAAGAGTTTTCCTGGTGGTGATGTGGAGGCAGAATTATTAGAAGACAAGACCCTCTGGATTACCATGGCTAGGAAAGGGAACCCAGGCCTAGCTATGGTAATTCCTTCAAACACCCTTCTTTACCTTTTTCCCCATACATTAAGTGTAGGCTATGGTAGAGGATTGTAGCATTTCACAGCTGCAAGTTTTCTGAGATACCCAGTCTAGCCATGTATTCTGCACTCAGAGAAAGTCCCAAAAAAAGTTTAAGTGACCTGCCAGCAGTAACTCAGAGGTACAGGAATGGGTGTAGGTCTACAGTTGGGTTCTCTTAATTTTCACCTAACATTTTTCTCACATAGTTTAAGGCCAGGCATGATGGCATATGCCTGTAATTCTAGCACTCAGGAGACTGAGGCAAGAGGATGGTCACAAATTCAAGGCCAGCTTGGGCTACGTAGTGAGCAGATATGGGTCTTTTTTTTTTAAATATATGCTGAAGTATTTGGATATGGGCCAGTTAAAGAGTTGGGTAACACCTTAGGGTGCTTGTGGGTATGAGCAACTGATAGTCATGTTTCAAACATGTCTCCTCTTGCCCATCTTTTGAATTCAGTGTTTGCAAAGCACTGTAGAATGTGTATGTATTATCCTAACAGTTCTGTTTTTGGTAATAGGAGGGAGGATGCCAGTTATAATAGCTTTGGAGAATCCCCAGTTATATCATCTGCCCATTAATGGGTGACTTTCTACTTATTTCCTCTGTCTTATGTACTGGATTACAGACTAGTGCCACTGAAGAGGCCACAGTGGCAAAGTGTCAGTAAGTCAAGCATTGCCTTGCCCCTCCAAACAAGTGACTTTTCTTTTTCAGCAATCTTCCCTTTAAGTGACTTATTAAATGAGAGTAATAAAAAGGCAAGATTAATAGCTGAAAGATTACTTTTTTTTTTGTACCAGGCATTGCGGGGCCAGGGAGATGGCTCAATAGAATAAGTGCTTTCCTGGAAAGCACAAGGGCCTGAGTTCAATCCCTGGTTCTGGAAAAAAAAAAAAAAAAAAAAAGAAAGAAAGAAAATAATTGAACTCGTAGCCTCACACTTGCCAAGCAGGCTCTGTACCACTGAGCTATATCCTCGGCCCTTCTGATTTAGTAATTAATACAGTTGAAGTCCTTGATAAATAAGGATGACAGCTTTCTTGTCTTGCTATTTTTTCATAACTTCGATGAATAAAATAGGAACTTTGTAATAATAATTGTATCTTTACTTCCAATGAAGGATCAATTGTTCTTCTGTTTAGTCAAAATGATAGAGATCTGTTAAATATAGTAATAGAGGAAAACAAGCTGAGCTTGGTGGCATACTCCTGCAGTTGTAGTTCTTTGGAGGCTGAGGCAGGAGGACTGCAATTGCAAGTCCAGCCTGGGCAATTAGTGACTCTTCCATTCCCCAAAATAAAGGGAAAAATGATTTAACATTCTTGTGCTACAGATAATCATTTGCTGTGTTGTGTTTCAAATTTGCAATATTAGTATCATAGAATCTTCATCTCCCAGTGGACTCATTTAGGCTTTATATGATCATTTACAAAACAGACCAGTTAAAATAACGTTGGCATATACTTAATGTTTTAATAGGAATTATTTCATGTAATGAACCAATATGAAAAATGATGTTGTGCAATTCATATTCTTCATGAAGATTTGTTGTTTAAATTTAGTGGCCAAATCTTTAAAACAAAATTTTCTTACTAGTAATCATATACAAAATGATAATCTTTGGGGATACATACAATATAAGCACTGTTCTTTGTCTTTTAGTGTCTGGAATGTCAGCCGAAATTGGCGTGAAATTATTGTTCAAGATAAAAAAGCAAATCGGAGGAGGAAATTTTATATCACACACCTGAAAGCAGATTCTCAGGTAATGTATAGAATGCTTTTCTAAAGTGAATTTTTGTACCTATATAATAATTCCTTATCACTGGACAGCCTAATTAGATTTCCCTGTTATCCTTTAACCTTTTCCATTTAGCAGACTCATATTTTCCAAACTGCTTTACACCTATACATATAAAATGGCATAGACTACTGAGCACCATGAACATCTTGTTGGGTTTTGTTGCTATTTACACAGATTTGCTGTGGTCAACAGTTGAATACCAGTGACATCCCGGATCCTAGTTATAATTACATATCCTTATTGTACTTTTACCCAGTCTTTTGAGTGTATATTTCATCAACCGTGCCAAGTGCTTGGATGACAATGATGACATTTGAGATGTGGTCCCTGCTCCCTTGGAGCTCTCACACTGGGTGATACAAGTAGACACATGATTAAATGCAGGGATTTTAGGGTAAGTCCAGAGTTCTACAGGACAGTTAAAGGAGTGTTGGGATAGTACTGGGGAATCAGAAGTGCACTGTTCAGCTAAGAGCTGAACAATGTGTTAGCAGTTAGCTAAGTGATGGAGAAAGGAGGGCAAAGTGAGTAGCAAGTAGCATATGTAGAGGCCTGGAGGTGGCTGAGCTTGGCAGTTGACATTTGTGATGCATGATAAACTTGCAGTCCACTGAGGAGCTGAGGGCTGGCTTTGAGTTACAAGAAAAGTCCTGCAAAAGCTGATGAATTCCTCA